ATCTTATCTTATCTTATCTTATCTTATCTTATCTTATCTTATCTTATCTTATCTTATCTTATTAGGCCAATCTGGATAGGGTTAATGTATCCTTCACTTTTTTTCATTTTATTTTTTGAAGATTTTTTTTATAATTAGACGTAATCTTTATCCTTATAATATCTTTCTTTGTCCTTGCAGCATATTTCCGCATGCCACATTTTTAACGAAACCACCAAGAAAATAATAAATTTTCAGTAGAACAACAAGGATCATCTAATTTATTCTAGATCACACAAAGGGTTTAAGGGAACCGTTGTGAATTGGACATTGCACTTAAAACGGAGGGTCTTTAAAAATTATGTTTGCAGTCCTTGAACAGTGATTTCTAGTTAAACTAAGTTTGGCTAGGTCAACTGCTCCTCGTTATTTATTAATTTCGACCTCTCGTTCTTATTAAAATAATTAGATTGGAAAATGAACCACAGCCACCGGGGACTGGGAATGATGACTTCAGAAGAATGCCAGAGCAGGTTATTAATAGATAAAAGGGAGGGGGGGTTGGGGGGTTGGAAGGCTAATAATTATTCGTTATCGTCGATATTACTTTAAAAATCGTTTTCAATGATACTATTTATTATAAATGTTCTTTATAAAGATCTCATCTGCCATCGCATCAGAAGCATATTACGATTAAGACGGTAAATATCGGATAAACTAACTTAATATTTGTTTAGAATTTGCCTATTAGACCTGGTGTTCCCCCTCGTGGAGTTGGTTTGCCCCCGGGCCCCCCTCCAGGGACTAGGATGCCCCTTCTACCTGTACGTCCTGGTGTACCCCCTGCAGGTACAAAAACAGTCCCTTTCTAGGAAAATCTAATTTTTTTAATTGCGAGCATTTTTTCAGTGAAAGATTTACCTGCTCTGGCCATGACAATGGGTGCATATTTTCGGGAAAATCGCCGTCAAGGGGTTCGTGAGTTATGATCGGGACATCCCCCCCCCCCCCGTTCCAGGCCCTGCACTGGGGGGAAATGATTTTTTATTTACAAATTGATATTGTTTCCTAAAAAATTCATTTATTACCCCCTAAACCCCATTTATGTTCCCCAGCGAAGAAAACCTTAATGAAATGTTGTACCCCTGTCATAATCTATATATTTAAATGTATCTATCTTATCTATATAATATAATTAAGTTTTATCAATCTGACTTAAGCTCTACATCCATCCATAGAATTAATCTATCTATCTAATTGTCACTTTCTCCTTATTTATCTCATCAATCTATCAATCTATCTATCTATCTTATTGAGGTGTCTATCTATCTATCTATCTATCTATCTATCCTCTAGGAGTAAGAATGCCCCCTGGACCTCCCCCTGGAGTACCCCCAAGGATTACGCGTCCTCTCCTACCTAAGCCACTAGGAGTAGTATCAGCTAAACCTCAGATTAATAAGGTAAAAACCTTCCTCAGTAAACGGGAGCATGTCCGATTTACAACGGTACCCTTTAGAGCATCTATATTCAAGAGTGAAGAGAAACTTATGTTTTTAACTCTGAAAAGTGATTATTTTCAACTATTGTTGTTTCTCTATTAAAGGGATTTGCGGATTTCTGCTACCTAAACAAATAAACAAATTTCCAACAAATACTTTTTTATCTAGAAAAGGGACGCTATCGTCCACATTGTTGACAAGCTAAAGATTGAAAGGGTACCGTTGTGAATTGGGCATGTTCTTTATAAATGAAGGGTCATTTAAATAAAACAAAAGTCCATTTACAGGAATTATCAGCTTAACAATACTTGACCTTTTCATAAAGAAATTCCATAATCGATTTATAATAGTATCCGTTATTAAACCAGTTTAAGCAAAATAAGACAACTTAATCAGTCGACAAATCCATGAATGAATCAATCAGTCAATTGATCAAATAATCATCCAATCAATCAATCAAATAACTGATTCTATTGATCTATATTTTCTAGTCTGAAGTCAAGTCAGACTCCGTGATAGAGAGCGCGCCGGTCATGCGTAATCTCAAGAGTGATGTCACCAGGTGAGAGAAAGAGCAAATGTTTTTATGTATCTTTTTTGCAAAAAATGTTTAGTTTTAGAAGAAATATAAACATTTCAATTCTATTTTTAGGATTTTTATTCTTGAACTATAGTTTTTTCGATGAAATGTGGTTAAAATTTAACATAAAACCGTCAATATAATGTGAAATAAATCGACAAAATATTAAATATATATTATACTGTGATAACCAGAAACCACATAAAATGCATTTCAGTATTTCTGTCATGTCGTCTTATCTATTATACAGATTTACTGACTATCACTGTACAATTACATCATCATAAATCCTTTTCTTTGTGGTCAGACCGTCTGATTGATTATGCTAATTCCATTAAAAGATTCAAGCATTTAACCAATGAAAGCTTTATTTATTAAAAAATTGGATCATACAAACGCGTCTTAGTTGGTTCAGTAGTAGTATTTCCTTTTTTCATTGAACATAGTGCTGTTGATGTATTCCTTTTGCTGTTCTGTTTGTCAACAAAACCGATTTATTTTAGGTTTATTCCAACAAACCTTCGTATAAAGAGAGACGGTAATAAAGGAATAAAGAAGAAAGAAGAACCACATCAGAAACCAGCAATGTTTACACAACAGAAGGAAATGATCTTTACTCTTTGGATAATTTTTAGAATTTTTTGTCAACATTTTTTAATGCATCCAACAATTTAACATACTTCGAAAACAATTTCTGTTTTTCTTTAGAACCAAAAGTTAGTATTTTGATTAAAATTTTACTGAACATTTTTTAAAAGTCTGCGACAAAATTAATAAATTTTTTAAAGAATTTAATATAAACAAGTTTTGATAAGATCCTATTTTGTCAGGTTGTGCCTCAAGAGAAGACGAAAGACGATGCTTACAATGACTTTATGCGGGAAATGAAAGATCTTCTGTAATAAATTTATCAACCTCCATTTAACAGAAGCAAATCAGTTCGTGGTTTGTTTCCAGTCACTTTGTTAAAAAATACTATTCCTCAAATCGGAATCAATATTAATGTTCTTAAAGTTTTCAGAAAAGAATGTTCTAGATAAGTTTCAGTTCTATTCTAACTGAAGAAAAAAAATATTTTAATCTTGATTTGACGCAAAGTTTGTATAAACCCAAGAATTCAAGATGGCGGAACTAGAAGAGAAGTTGCGCGAGGCCGCGTGTTTTGGCGATATTGAAGGTGTCAAGGTTTGTACGAGACTTTTGTAAACTGAAATATTTTTTTCTCAACCTCTGTTCCAAAATCTTTCCACAACATATTAAGGGAAATGATTGATTTTTTGGAATAGCTTTAAAATTAAAAATGGAATAACAGATAAATCCTTAAGACTATTTTAAAAAGAGAAAATTTTCGAATGTTCTTTTGATCAATATTATTTTTTTGTTATAAACATGTGTCATGTACTTTTTAACACGAAAAACATGAATTGACTTATACTTGTCTTGGAGAAGGGTCGATAACATTAAATTAAGATGGTTTGGCTATCACCATGGAATGGACTCAATCTGCAATTCTTTACAATGTATAAAATGTATTTTTCATGGTTTTATTTTTTTAATTAGTGATGAATATTATTTTTTAATTTCAGGGGTGTATATTTTTAAGAATTATTCGCCCCCCTTTCTGCAGACATTTAAATGCAACTTTTTCATCATTTTAACAATTTTTATCACAAATTTTATTTATTTTCCCCCAATTCAGCGAACAATCTATAAAAAATATATTTGCTCCGCGTAAACATACCTTATTTCTAAGGTAGCAATGATTTTCGAAAGGAAGTGGGGTGGGGGGGGATTTTTTCAGAAATTGTTTAGGAAATCCCTCTATTTTTGTAGTGTAACTTCGATCAAATGATAATAGTAATATTAATTTAGTAATATAATTTTTTTAGGAGTTATTAAGCCGGGGGGTGAATGTGAATGCTCAGCATGATATCAACGGTTGGACGTCTCTACACTGGGCTGCTAAACGGAACCATCTTAATATTGTGAACCTACTCTGCAACCACGGGTGAGTGCAGGAGAAGGAGAGGAGGGGGGGGGGCTGCTAAACGGAACCNCTTAATATTGTTAACCTACTCTTCAACCACGGGTAATTGAAGGAGGGTAAGGGGGGGTTGCTAAACGGAACCATCTCAATATCACTTACCTACTCTGCAACCATTGGTAAGTGCAGGAGAAGGAGAGGAGGCGGGGGAGAATATAATTTTATCGCTAGTAAACGGATTAAGCATAGAGAAATTGGCTTAGTTTATTCATACGACAGAATGTGTTTTACTTTAAGGTAGAATGTTACATGCCTGATTCACAACTGCACCTTATATCTTAATCTGGAGTTTAACTGTAAGAAATAGATTCTGTCAATTTCCTTATACTTATCGCTTAGACAAAGATATTGAGGGTGTCGTTGTGAATCGTTTTTCTTGTATAAATGGAGGCTCAGTTGAAATTCCGGTTATGCAGTTCCTTTAAACTATGAAGAAACCTTAAAATAAAATCATATTTATCAGAATTATTCAAATATTAATTTCTAGTTCTATTTTTGTTTTGTTTTTAGAGCTGACAAAAATATTCCCACGAACAAGGGAGAGGTTGCTGCTCAGCTGACTAGTGAGGGAGTTATTAAAGTACTCCTCAATGCAATGAAAGGGAGTGCTGGAACAGGAGGTGGTGGGAGTACTCCTAAACAACCATTAAAGGTTAGGAGGTTTTTTTTAACAATCATGATGGTTTCCCTCAAGGTCATTAGTAAGACTAGATTGATAAGCTTTATTTTTATGTAATTTCTGAGAGTAGGGAAAGTGGTAAAGCCATAGGTCAAATTTTTCCTCATTTTTTTAAATCACGAAACCTCGACCACCCCCGAAGAAGGGCTGATTGTAGTTGGGTAACAAAGACTAATCCTGAAGTAATGATCTTGAGAGTTCAGAAAATTTTAGCAAACTTTAACAACTAAATGTTTAATAGCCGCAGCGCTCGGCCACCTATCCAATCCTAGCCGCAGCGCTCGACCCTGATATAATCCCAACCTTACCTAACCCACGACATAGGTCACATGAGCAGATTAGAATTGTAAAGCAATTAAATGTGCACAAAATGTGTGAAAGTCTATTATATGTTTCGTGGTTTATTACTTGATATATATATGGATACTGTTTATCCTGGGCTATGATAGATAGATAGAATTGATAATGTGATCTGATGGTCGGATTTGAGAGTTAGAGCCAGAGGGTTACCACAACCCTGCTATAACGATTGATCCTGTTTTTATTTTCTAACAGGGGTTCTCTCTCTGGACTTAATGATTTCTCATCGTAAATATTTCTCAATTTACAATCACTAAAAAGTCGAAGACTCTTCTTTGATTTAATTAAAATCAATAAAATTATTCATGGTGAATAATGCTGATAAATGTACGAGGTTTTCATTGTTATCGGATGCATCTAATAGAATTACAACAATTTCAATCTTTGTAGAAATGATATTCATAAACATGTTTTTAGCCAAAAGAGTTGATTGTCCATGGAAAGAATTACCCTGTGATATAAAACATTTAATACTTTAAAATCTAGATATGATAATTATGTTGAAAAAACTGATCTGTTTTAGTTTCTGCTTAATAAAGTGTTTTCATGATTGTTTTTTCATCAAAGAAAGGACAAAAGCAAAAAAAAATTTAAAAAACAAACGAAGAAAAAATGGACCACAGAATTAAAAAACCTTTATCTTAAAAATAAATGTCCTATATATTCGTAAATGTATTCACTTAAAAATTATCTACATATTAATGTGATGAATGACAATAATCAGAAATTCTCTGATATACTCCACTATGACTCCTGAGAATAAACAAAATATAAACATAAAAACTTTAAATGCTGCAATTTGAACAGTGTTGTTCCTTAAGTTAGATTTTTCCTCCGATATTTGGAGACTTTTCCTGTGGAGCCCTTCAAGAAAATGTAAACTCTTCCTTGGAGCCAAGGGTGTGATACAAGGAAAGTTAATTGCGGTCGTGTATACTCTGCGTACACATTGAAACCAGTTCTCTTTGGGCGGAATTTGTAAACAAGAATAGAAGCATCAGTGTTCGTCAAGTATCCGAGGAGGTTGAAAGCATTAAATTTTGATAATTTTGATTATTCACATAATAGTTTCCTATGACCAGAATATTTCATTGATTTTTTTTATGTGAAAGATGGATCCCATGTCAGGCTTTGACATTCGTCTTGTGTTTACATTACCGCCCAGAGAGAGTACACTGCAGTACAAAAGATGTGTACACTTCTGAAATAACTTTCCTTGCATTACATCCTTGCTTGGAGCTACTTTTATTACCCTTAAAATAAAACCGAGTACAAAATTACTGGGGGTATTTATTTCACGGAAAGAGAGGCAGGGTTTCATCTAAGACTGAAACCAGCTCCATGGAATTTCTGACATTTAAAGTTACAGGATTTAAATGATTTATATTAATGATAATTGATTTTTTGGAAATAAGTATCAAGGTAAAAAAATTGCAAGCCGAAGTCCAAATATTAATTATCTATTCAATAAATTTGTATTGGAGTTTCTGAACTATTTTACTTGATCTTGAGAAAAATATATTTCCAGAAGGAGAAAGAAGAAAAGCTTCCAATCACACCAAACTACATTCGCCACCCTCCTCTAGCATACGAGGTGAGAAAATAGGGTCAATAGTTTATTCTAAAATACAGTATTTTTTACAGTTCTTTTCTCCATGGGAAAGATTTTTATTTAACAGTAACAATTGAATTCACTGTCAACCTTCAGTCCTTGAAATTCGGCCTTGAAAATCGCCTGAGATGGAATTTAAAGAATTTGAGCCGCGGTTTAAATCTGCCTAAACCCGGTTTAAATTAAGCGCCGGCTTAAATCTTGAAACAATTGATCCAATTTTAAGTTGAGCCAACCATATTTAAACCGCGGCTTAAATTTAAACCGCCGCTCAAATTCTTTAAATTCGGCCACTGTTCAAATAAGTCGTCATTGCTTTCACCAAACATAATGTAAATTGTGAAGGTAGTGTTTGTGAAAAATGAAAAGGTGGAATAGGCTAAACATGAACAAAATTAGAAATTTTTGTATTTTTTAATCTTTTTAGTTTTTACGCTTACAGCCCTTTTTCTATTGACAATTTCAACTATTAACCTTTGGCGATGCTCTTCAGTCTTCTATTAGAAATTCGCATATTTGTCTGTTCAAATTAACGCATTTAAAAACATCATGAATTGCGACATTTTTAAAGGCAAAGTTTTTCAAATTTGATTGTTCACAAACCTTCTCTTGGGCATGCGAGTTGCCACAAAAAATGGTTATAAAAGGACAAACATACAGACAAGCAACGTATATTTATAGATATTGTATGAGAGATTCATTTAAATATTTACGAACACTCACCTTTTAAATATAATCCGCCATATTTCTTTCTTAAATTAATTTTATGTGCGAACACTCCCTTTAAACATAATTTTACTCCGCTTTATCTGTTTTATTAATTAATTTTTATCAGGTGGATCTTGGAGATAAAGAGAAACATAACGAGAGAAAATCATTTTCTAGACCAGAGAAGAGGCCTAAACTTAATAATCACGAAAGGTAAACTTAACTTAACTTCAGGTGTGTACGTATATTAGTCCTGAGATTCATATTTTTTCCTCCACAACTTTTTTTTGGTTTTTGGTTTATAATTAATGCTTTTGGTACCCTAAAAAGGGAGTGGATACAAAACGCGCAAAAACAAAATGTCCAATAACAAAACACCTAAAAACAAAACGCCCAATGTTACAAATCGCCCCAAAAACGAAACACCCAAGGTAACAAAAAGCCCAAATTTACAAAATGTTCAAAGTTACAAAATGTCCAAAATTACAAAATGACCAAAGTTACAACTTTTCGGTTCTTTTGTGCTATTTTTATGTTCATTTGACCTGGTCTATAATATTATTGACCTGGTCTATAATATTATTGACCTGGTCTATAATATTATTGACCTGGTCTATTATATTATTGACAAGGTCTTGAACATTGATGCAACTTTACATAGCTGTCGTGTATCTATGTGGGTTAAAAATCCTTACTTACTAACAAGCTAACTACTAAGTTACAAAATGTCCAGAGATAAAAAATGTCCCAAGTTACAAAATGTCCAAAATTGGCAATGTCTTACATTGCATTCTAAGTATCTTGTATCTTAGTAAGTATCTGGTTTTTAATCTTTTTTGTTCAAAAATAAAAATGCTAGTGTTTAAATTGTAATTAAATATTTTATTATTTTGACATTTTTAGAAAATTTTTAACATTTTGTAATTTTGGACATTTGGACATTTTGTAATTTTGGACATTCTGTAACTTTGGACATTTTGTAACTTTGGATATCTTGTAACATTGGACACTTTGTAACTTTGGATATCTTATAAGCTTGGACGTTTTGTAACTTTGGACATTTTGAAATCTTGGGGATTTTATTTTTGGGTGCTATGTTTTGGGTGTTTTGTTATTGGACATTTTGTTCTTGGGCGTTTTGTATCCACTCCCTAAAAAGGGTCAATAGTCAGAACCCCCACCCCCTGAGATTAAAAAAATTAAGTCCTTTTGGATGTTGGATCATATTTAAATGAACATATTTTGTGACAAATGTGCCCGATTCAAAAGTGTATCCTAGAAACCTTTATCTGATCAATAATGTGGAAGATAATGTCGGTTTTCTAGAGTTAAACATGTTTAGTTTTAATAGTTTATTTATATTTTCCTGAAATAGAAATTCTGAAGTCACTTATGTTGTTTAAAATAATCGGTTATTAAAATAAAAAAAAACATTATTTTGTCTAATTGATACTTGGCCAGATAAAGATTTTAAGAATACTGTGGCGAATCGGACATTGCCATAATTACATGTAAAGTCACTTGAAATTGTGCGTACAATCCCTTTAACTTGAAATTGTGCGTACAATCCCTTTCACTTGAAATTGTGCGTACAATCCCTTTAACTTGAAATTGTGCGTACAATCCCTTTAACTCACTTGAAATTGTGCGTACAATCCCTTTAACTCACTGAATTGATTCAAAGGTTGAGATAAACTCAGAGAACCCAATTTTTGTTGGCTGAACCCGTTAAGTCGTTTTCTCCCTCCTGAAATTAGATTAAATCAATTCTTTAAATGTCTCTTAATCCTGGAGTTGAGCAATGATAAGTCTTGATGTTGCTAAGCTGCCATCAAACAGATGTCATAATTTACGCATTAACTTAATAGTTCCGACATCTGGTAATTGATCGGGAATATATAGATCATATGTTTAGGTTAACAGCTGAGTATGAATCTCCTGAATTGATCCTGAAAGTCCGAACAGCAGGTGCTCGAGAGCAGGACTATATTGAGGTACGTCAACATTCTCAAGATCTTCTAGCAGCAGAACATCATGTTAGATGTTAAAAGTGATGTTGAAAGTGATTCATATTAATGCATTTCACATCTGCATTTATGAAGTTTGTATGTATGTTTGGGTGTTTGTTTTTTGTTTGTTTGTTTGTTTGCTTGCTTGTTTGTACGGGTGTTTGTTTGTTTGTTTATTTGTTTGTCCGATCATAACTCATTAACCTGTGGACCGAAATTTTGATTGGGGAACCAAGGGAATGATTTTAGCTTGGTTTTTAGATTCTTAACTAAGTGGGTCGACTTTTAATGGGAAAAATTAGCTAAAATCGAAATTTTACGACCACGTGCGGGTAAACGGCGGGAGTAACTAAGAGTACCCAGGCAACGCTGGGTTCCCATTATTATTATATCTTTTATTCATCTCTACTCAGTAGAGTTAGCCCCGATGGCGGTATGGGCTCTCTAAGTCGGGGGGGTTTTCAGATCCTTATCTACTCTGAGGCTTTTTTTATATCCCATGAATTTTTTCTTCGTCTTCATTATCATATTTATATAATCGCCTACCACTGTATAGACACAGAATAATTAAAATTTTATAAATATTTTTAGATTGAGCTTGCCAGAGATGCGCTCACCCTTGAGTATCTTATAGGAAAAATATTTTTTCAGAAGCATTGATCAATGCATGCCAAAGAAATTTTGCAATATGGGTTTTTTTTAAATTAAAAAATGTTTTTCTTCATCATGACATTTTCTACTTGAAAACTTGATTGCTTTTGTTTTAAATGACTTGGATTTTACATTTTTTTTATAGACGTGGATTTGATTATCCTGCCTTGAATTTGACATTGTTTTTTTATTGACCTGGATTTGATTATCCTGACTTGAATTTGACATTGTTTTTTTTTTATGACCCTGGATTTGATAATCCTGACTTGATCTTGACATTGTTTTTTTTTATGAACCTGGATTTGATTATCCTGACTTGGATTTGACATTGTTTTTTTATAGACGTGGATTTGATTATCCTGACTTGATCTTGACATTATTTTTGTGGACCTGGATTTGATTATCCTGACTTGATTTTGACATTTTTTGTGGACCTGGATTTGAATATTTTTTCGGCATCAGTTATGGGATGTGAGGAGCTGGGGATCCAGAGCAGTGAAGTTGAAAAGCTAAGAAAAATGCCGAATACAAGGTGACATAGGGCGTGTCCTTAGTTTTTTTTCTGGGGGGGGGCAGATCATCGAATTTTTATTTTTAATTAAGACCCCAAAGACGTAATAGGAAGACGACAGGTAGACCTAAAATATGATATATCAAAACCACTTCAATAAATAAATTGAATTTCAAACTATTAAACTATTTGCTTTTGAAAAACATCAAATACACATAAGATTGCTTAAATATCGTATTCATTTTTCCACATTTAAATTAAAAATAAGATTTTTTTTTATTTTCAAAGATTGCGACGGGATAAGGAGGTCGAGAGGTTGGAAGATTATCAGGAGATTGAGTTTGTCCTCCGAGAGCAGGATTACCAGGCAGAAATACAGGTATGCGGTAACGAGGTTAAAGTGTATAACGTGATGATGTACGCTAATCATTTACTATTTGTATAGGCCGGGAACTATACCGACAGCGTACTGCATATATCATAAATCTAAACAACTAGAAATTCAAGGCGCTTCGCGCCCTTCTTTCTAGCCTTAGAGGGCGCTTAGCGCCCATCTCCTAAATTAATTGTGAACATGTTCTCTTTGTGTACATCGTAAAACAAAACAAAAATAATTCGCGGATTTTCACAAAAAATTT